GCAAACACCCGCATGCACAAGGAAGAGAGAAAGAAAGACAGAGAGAAAGCTTCACAGGCACTGAAGATTATGATAGGGCTCATTTATCCTCTGATAATACCAACCAGGCCAGACAAAAGCGGGGGGCAGCTGGGTTTCCAGGCTATTTCCTGACTAAACGAAGAGCTTCTCTAACTTTTGTTCACAGTGATGACTTTTGTCACAATGTCTTTCTTGGCCATGACTGTAGAGGCTTTTAACATCCCTTACAGGAATACAAATTAGCTAAAGTTCCTTTAAGGGGGAAAAAGTTCTTCTAACATTAAAAACTAAACCTGGCTCATACATTGAAACCTGGCTCATATGTTGGATCTATTGTTTTGACCATGTTTTGTATGTGGGAGGTCTTGCTTGAAGGTTCACTTAATAAGTAAGTCTCCAACCTTAATTAATTCCCTTTACAGCTCCCTTAAATATGCACACGTTCACTTAGTCATGAAAGTAATCTTTCAACTCAGTGACTGGCCTTGTCTGATAATAAAGTGTTTTATTCAGAACAAGAAGTTCTTACTTTTTCACTTTTATGTTCTTGGATGAAAATATCATTTTTCCAACTTCATAAAAGTTTGTATGAAGGACAAGATTCAAATGAATATCAGGGAGAAACACTTTCACATGAACATCCAGTTGAAGCTTAGAGAAAGCAAAGAATCATACGTATTCACAGCAGTAGCGCCGCTGAAATATTGTTTTATTGCCTATTTTGAAAGGAGCCTTGTTTGGATGTTCCCTGAGCCGTTAGGTCTCAGACTGTGATATACTGTATATCTTCAAGCACTTCCTTAAAAATGGATCATCTTAAATTATACCAGCAATGAATATGGTTTATAGCTATAACAGATTCTGATATATGACCCTCTACAGGGGTTATACTGTATTTATGCCAAAAGAGAGGTGGAGTTCTTACTTAAAGGAATAGTTCACCCAAAAATGAAAATTATTATTATTTATACACCCTCAAGTCGTTTTAAACCTGTATGACTTTATTTATTCTGTTGAATGTGATTTGGACTTCAGCATTCTTCAAAATATCTTCTTCTGATATAAAATATCTGAAAAAAAGGAGACATTTTTCAAAATATCTTCTTTTATGTTCTTCAGAGGAAACAAAGTCATACAGGTTTGGAACAACATTTTTTGGGTGAACTATCCCTTTAAATGCCTCATATGAGGATGGATTAATTCACTGTGAACAGGAGAGTATTTATACTTGGTCACTTCAATCCAATTGGGCATGTGCACATTTCACTTACATACTGGCCACAAACATATGTGCAAAACAGGTCTAAACCCAAACTACTATTCCTCTGCTATATGCAATGCTAATGTGGGGCAGCAAAATTCTGTGGAATGCTCTCTCTGCCCCAGTAGTATCTGAGTTTTGAGATTGCTCAGTCCACGTGTTTCATCCATGATTGCTTGTTCATGCATGGATTACAAGGCTCCCAAATCTCCATTTGTGACATGGTGAATTTTACATATCTAAACAGCCAAAATGCATTTAGTTTTCATGATTAGATCTGTAAATAAATAAATAATTTCTAAGATATAATAATTTATAATAAATGCATTTATTTATATATTTATAGACAATTTGCTAAAATCCTCATAAAGCATTAAATAAATATGTTCTATTTACTTATTTATTAATAATATACATAAATACATTTATAATATTCTATAAATACTCCCAAAAGCATTATGCTCCTTTTTCTGTCATTTTTTTTCTCAGTGTGATGCAATCATGTGCTGTCTTACATTTATATGGTCAAACTTGCAGCTACAAATTGACTTTTAATAATTACTTATACAGGTAGTAAAGGACAATCAAAATGTCAGAAGCTGACAGAATGCACCGAAAATCATAGTAGATAAATAAATCTTAGAAAGGGGTCATTGCTGCTTAATGAGTAATGAAGATAGATAATAATCTATGAAATATGTATCTGCATATAGCCTATTAATTTAGTTTATGGCAAACAAAGGCAAAAACTACATGATAAACAAGGCAGAGAAATATCATTATATATTATTTTAGAGAGAGATGGAGATGGAAGTGTAACAGGTGTGCTAAAAGGATGATGTTTTAAGAAGTGCTTTTGACCCTGCAGCTGAGCCGCTCCGAGAGCATTACCCACAGCATTTTTACTGCTGCTGATTTCTTTTCAAAGGTGCCGTGCAACACTGTGTATACACCACAAGCAAGCGGTGCAATGCAATGCAACAAAACAAGACCGTTGCAACGGCGTGCTGTTCAGTCAGCGTTGCTGTGGTGCAGTCATCTTTGTTGATGTAATGAGAGTGATTGGTTTTATGCTGTCAAACGCAGGGGGAAAATTAAGAATGTGGTATTGTTGATTCATCCACAGTGATTCTGGAATTACAGTATGACAGATTTAAATCTAAAAATGACTGATTTTAATTTGCAAAAATAACAAAGAAACAAAGAAATTGCTTTAATAGGTAAAAATAAACTCTAAAATTCAGACTATGCTTTATATGGGTTGCCAAAGACACGTTTTATAACAATTTACAGTCAGCCTCAATAAGGTCTCTGTGGAAACTCATCCCACACCTTTAAAAGTGCAGCTTAATTGTTACAGTAAATCACACAGTGTCTCACATTTGCATGAATTCTTCACAGAGAGAGGCCTTCAGTTAGAGACCCTGGACTACAGACAAATAAATCTGTTTGCGTCAAATTTGTAAAGACACTTTTAACATTTAATTTTTATTCAAATATTTGTGGAGTTATGTAACCATTAAAGTTTCAAAGGGTTGCTCAACCCTAAGACCACAAACTGTGAAACCCTAGAAATATATCAAACACTGACTGTACAAAATGTAGGCTAATTATTGATGAAAAACACCCTTTTTACATTTTAACATCCGACTGACTAATAAATAATCATCGCTCTCGAGAGTCATCTATAACTTTATATAATAATGACTAGTCCCTCTGGAGGAGACTGGATACACAGAGCACAGTGCTATAACACAGCTTTAGCATATTTTGCATAGCAGACTGGAGAGATTTCGGGAAAGATGGGGAGAGATACAGAAGCTGAACGACTGTGCAGAGAAATTTGACCTCATTCTCTTAATGGAGTGCTGTGAAGCAGACAGCCCGCTCTCAGCTACATCATTATATTTTGACTCAAACGGACCAAGTCCCAGACCTAATCCACAGCAAAGAAAAAGAAGAAAAATAGCTTTGAATATGCTGGTCAAATACTACTGCTCACCTGCATGTCTGAGTCAAACATTTTATAGAACTTCTGCCAGAGTATTTTTTTAAAACACAAGGCTATTTTGTAGCCTTATACACAAGTTCCCTACAAGGAACACATTTCACACACAGTGGGCTCAAAAAGTTTGAGACTACCAGTGATATTTTTTAGTAATTTTTCTAATAAAATACAATTATTTTTCATTATACATACAATAACATATAATATGATATCTAGTATAATTTGAGAATGATACAAGAGCTCTTTGAAGAATTTTGACTTTTTACAAGCTGTGAAATCCTAGAAATATATAAAAAACAAATGAGTTTACATGATCAGTGTCACAAATTTGCTTATTTGACCTAGAAATAGTGCAGAATCAGGAACATGTCCTTTTCATTTGATGTCAATAATGTCAATTTATTTTATAATCGAATTCAAAGTCTAAAGCTTTTATTTCCACTTTTAAGTGGAAATTTTTCCACTTAAGATTTTCAGTGTACTCAGACTTTTGCATCCCACTGCTTAAATCTAAATATTAAATGTTAATGAACATAAATAGAGGTATATCACTTGGTTTATCCTTTAGTCACAAATGTGTACATATTCTAAACTATGGTCTAACAAGAGCTTCTCAGGAGTGCATTCTTGCATTATATTAAACATTATATCACACCAAACGAGGAGAAAGCAGCAGTAAATAGTGTCTAATGTGACATGTAAATTGAGCGTGTGCATTTCAGATGTGGTTTCCTTTGATCAATGCAGTGAACGCTGAACATGAGACACTACAGATCCTACATTAGATATGTTTAGCCTACAAGGATTACACTCCCCTATTTTTTCCCTTTTCTTTTTTAAAGCAACATTTTCTGCAACAAATACCCATGTTGTCAAAAATATCCACTGCATGGCATGGCCATTTTAAAATCTTTACTCCCTTTTTTTCCCTACTAATATTGTATATGCTGCAATAACTCAGTAGTGAATAGGTGAATGTGAATAAAAAATGGCTTGGCACAGACTATTCTTTTTTTTTTTTTTTCCTTTGAAAACAAAACCAACTAGATACTTCACAACAATAAACTTTGTCCAAAACAGTCCAGCATGCTCACTGCAGGAAAAAAGCTAATTATGCGTCCCCAGAAAAACAAAACAAAAATCAAATTAAAATACAGATGTATGTGCTTTGACATGCAGGTATTTCATATATAGACAATTTGCTTTTTCAAATGCACTCCCTAATCCATAAGGCATTAAGGTTTCCATCGCACACCAATTTGCACTTCAAACCAGTGGGCCCCTCTTCATCCACCGAATGTTTGCAAGCCCAGCAACACCCTGTGGATCCGCACATGAATATGAGTGACAAAGCCATCTATGATTCGGCACAGGCCCAGAGGAAGTGTCTAGCAGTTCTCTGAACCGTTTGCTCATATGCTTCAGGAAATTATGTTATTTTCTCTGAAATGCCTATAACTCCCACAGTGCCCCTTAGGCTCCAAATATAACCAGTCGATCCATTAATACAGTCACTTAAACCAGTTGTTGGCTACCGATTATTAGCTCTAACCAATTACATCCTTACCCTTTAGTGACTCAAGGTGACTTTGCCTTGACTTGCTCTGGGGTATTTTCTCACTTTTGCAGTTTTACGTCACCAGCATTAACTATCGGGGAATTTTGCTCAATGCAAGGTTACAATTGAGAATGAAACACAGGTGGACTTACCATTCTCCTGACCCGATTTGTTGTCCTGCTCTGTGTCTGTGAGTGCTAAAGCAGAGTTGGACCGGCAGGACAGCTGCGCGTCCCGTCCGTGTGTCTTAACCCATAGCATGGCGCAGTCAGGAGGTATGCCCCCGGCGTTCTGGATTTGGTCTGCTCCGCTGAGCTGTGTATGATGACTGAGTCCAGTCTCAGCGCAGAAGCTCAGACCACGGCGAGGAGCAGGGCCGCATATCCCAAGCTGTCTCAGTGACAGACTCTGGCCTGCAAGATTCAAAGTGCATACTTAATACAGAGAGTGTATGCACAAAAAATTAAAAGTAAAAAGTAAACACAATAACTGTGAACTTGCTGAAAATCACGCACAAACTATTTAATTATTTTAACTTGCATTCAAACTCTTGCAGTGCATACACTTTTATATTAAAATATTTAAAGCATTTAAATAAAGATGCAGCAAGAACAACAGCAGTTTTATGTTCCCAAGTACATGTTTGTTAATTTATGTGGTGACTATTCTTTCTAACCAGGGAACGAATTAGATTCATACTTAAATGTTTTTTTTTTTATGTTTTTTTTTCTTTCTCGAAGATCTATGTTTTACATTTGTGTTTTTGTTCTCCCCGCCAATGCATAGATTGATTTGATGTAGGAAATTATTTAAGATAAAATATGTAAAACTACAAAGAATACAAAAAAACTATGTAAAATGAAAAAGAGAAAACTATTAAAAGAACCTTTTTTTGAGTGTTGCACATTTTACTTGATTTTTTTTATTTTTATTGGTACCTTTTCATAGACAAAAATTAATTTAGATAATAGTGAATACTTGATTCAAAGTGGCCTTTGTTCATAAGAATAACGTCACATAAACAGAATGAATCTTATCAATACATTTTTACTGATACAAAATGACAAACCAAGCGAAACTAATAAACAGTAACATTTCAGACAGTTTTGGCAGAACGAAATATAAAACTGATTACCTAATTATGGGCACATTTTAAGATTAAAAATAATGTTTATTTATTTATTTATAATGTGGAGTTGAGGAGTCTATTTTAAGGGTTTGTTTTAACACTGCATCGAAAATATACTTTAATTTTTTTCATCAACATTTCTGTTATACTGTTTTCATACTTTCATTAACATTTATGTTAATTAAAAAATATGAAGAAACAAAATTATGCCTACTTAAAATAAAAAAGGCAAAAAGAGTCTAATAAAAAAGCCTGGTCTGCTTATGTTTATTAAATGGAGAACATTTGTATTTTTTATTTTTTTTCACACTTTCAACTTATTTTATAATTCATTGATATTTGATTCTTAACAGTGAGCATTATTTGTTGTATAGACTTATTTAACTTACTGAATTACCTTTTTCTATTTACTGATCTTCTTTTCTTTTTCAGCAGGTGAATTTCTGTTCAGCTGAATCTGAAAGTGGGAAAGCTCTACCTCTTCCAACACAAGAAAATCTGAGGATTTACTACACAGTACAAAATAGAACCTGTTCCACTTCAGATTGAAATTCACCTTGAGACTCAGCACCCCTCTACTTCCTTCAGCTCTGCTTTTAAAACCATATTCTTGTACCTGATAGCATATGCTGAGTGCTTTATGACTAAAAGCACACAGAGTAGGTGACACATGAAAATGAATACACCGGAATTTAAATTATGAGTACACTCATAGATACGAAACAAAATAACTCAACACAAGTGCTGACATTAATTACCACATGAGGGCATTATCTGAAATACACATTTTGAAATACTGCAAACTGTGGAAGCCAATGCAAGGCAAACTGCCACGATTTAGCCAGGCTGTGATTAAAATAAAATGACGGAACATTTGTATCATGAATACAGGCAAGATTTCTCTCCTTCGGCTTTTGTGCCGATCAGGCACAAACACGGCTGCTAATTAAAGCCGTCCCCCTAAGTGTAACAGCCTAAGGTTATGGAGCGCACTATAAAGCACAATTAACCAACTAAGTGTATTTCTAATGAAATTAAGTTTGAATGAGCAGTATCCTACCCTTCCACTTAAAAAGTGTCTCATCATGATAAACCATCAAATATTTATGAAATAGTTTGAATACTTTGTGAATAATCAGCAAATGAGTGTCTGGTGGGCTTTATTAGATATCAAAATGAAATGAAAATGAAGGTGCCCAACCTGAATACAGCTGTCTGACAAAAGTGTTCTGTGCTGATTTAAAGTACTTTCATTTAGACTGCCTCAATGACAGGCTGAAATAATATCTGTAACTTAGTCAATTAAACTAATTAAAATGTCATTATAGGGTTTACATTTCTAGACATTCAGTGCTTTGCAAAAAACTACCTCTTCTATTGTGGCTTGGTCTACAGTATATAAAAGGTATTCAAGATATTGAAGAAATAAAAAGTAGGTGTTGGATCACAGTGCAATATAATCGTTAAATTGATGCTTGCAACCCATACGATCAGACTTTTATTGATATGGAAAAATGTGTTTATTGAACAGTAAATGGTCTGCAATGTAGTTCCTTTAAGAGTTATAAAGAATTAGCTTCCCGTGTTATACTGTATATGCAGCAGTTGCTGTAAAAAAAAATACAAAAAAATCTAAAATATTAAATAAAAAAATGTGTATCCAGGATTAAATCCATACATATCTGGTAACAATTTTGTAAACATAGTGATATTAAAGTTATTGTTTTATTGTAGAAATAATGCCTGTACGTCATTGTATGTGTTTTATTGAATAGCGAAAACAATTAATTAGAAAAAAATCTGCTTGCTTTAATTTCTTTAAATAAAAATATTTATTATTATCATAATTATTATTATTTTTATAATGGCTTTGTGTGTGTGTGTGTGTGTGTGTGTGTGTGCGTGTGTGTGTGTGGACTTAATTGCATATCCAGTTAAGGCAAACTTTATGAAATAATCTTTGGCTTAAAATGTACTTGGAAACAATCTTGGTCTTCTCTTTGTGGTCTAGAATGTTTTGTCAAAGACATGGGATTTATTTTCTGAATACGACTGAATTAAATCTGAAGATTTAGCTCCTGTTTGGCTGAGAGGTCAAGGAGAAGTGAGGTCACGTTACTGACCGGTCATGTGCCACAGTATGCTACACTGTGCACTGGACTTATTTAATTTAGAAAGATATAGTTTGATCGTCATTACAGTATTAAATTATGCCTGTTGAAAAAATTGAGAGAAAATAATTTATATACCATAAAATCTTTTTTTTCAGAGTGCATACGTCTATAGATACATGTTTATGCAGTTTAGTGCTGTATACTGCATTTCTTTTTTCTATGTTTTACTTTTAGCATTCCAAATGTCTGTTTTTATTTTCCTTGTTGCTTTAAAATAAATCACATTTGCAAGCTTGAAGGACTCCAGAGTTTCCTGTCCATATGGTGAATGTTAAAGAGCACTTACCTGGAGCTCTGTATTCCTCAGTGTCCCTTGGCACCATGTCTAGCATGCGATGCCCATAAAGCCCCTGGGTGGATGGATGTTGATCAAAGGCCTTCAGCGTCTCACTGGAGCTATAAGACTTCTGGGTAAGGACGGAGGATGAGCCGGTGTGACGGCGGTTGCCGGGACCCTCCCTGTAGCCCTCCCCCTCCTCTCTGTCTTCTTCCCTCTCCCAGTCTCTCCCTCGTTCTCTCCTGCTCCGAGAGAAAGCGCAGTAAGGCCGACGCTCCTTCACCTCCATGCTACATTCATGCTGTGTTCCTCCTCTTCTACGCCTCTCTCTTGCTGCTGTCTGTTCTAGTTTGCTTCTTTCCAGCTATCAGTCTGTCTCTGCACCTCTTTCTCCACTCTAAGTTCCACTCCCACCTGCTAAGAGACACAAAGAAACACTGCTTAGTGAGAGAAAGAAACAGGTAAAGAAGGCAACAAAAGAAGAAAGAGACGACAAGTAGGATGCTGAAACAAAGCTCTAGCAAGATGTCACTCCTGCGTAGTTTACCATGTTTCTTGTACAGCCTTTAAAGAACAATTAGTCACTAAGATAGAGTAAGAGGGGGCGCAGCGACTAGCATTTTTCTGATAACACTGTTAAACCATATAATTAATCTCTCGAGGTTTGTAAATACCTACTTTTTTTTGCATTTACATTCACAATATTTATCTATTAAGCACATTATAAAAAAATTAGGAAATTTTACGAAATGTTTTTATCCTAAAATAGATTATAAAAAATATTATTATATTATCTTGTATTGTATGTATATATAGTACTGAACTGTATAATATAAATGCAATAAGTAAAATATAAATATATATAAAATATAAATATATAAATATTAATGAAAGATAATTTTGGGATTAACTGTTTTGTTGATACAATGAAAGTCAATAGGGTCCAAAATTTATTTGTTTTATTATATAAGTATTGATGTAAATAATGACAAAATTTTCATGATTGGGTGAACTATTCCTTTAATTCAACCATGTTGAAACAAAATTCACCTCAGTCCTCAAAAGAAAGAAAAAGTCTGCGTTTTCCAGCAAAGGCAAAGTCAAATGAAGTGATACTAAAAATGGTTGCTTTCATTGCACTGGCTTTGTCATGAGAGATCCACACATACTTGTAAGCCTTTAGTAGATTTCCTGGGAGGTTTGTGCCAAAACCGTTCAACAAAGCTCTGGAGAATTGGTTGAGTTTCACTGGTGTGTGAGTTTAAGGATATTCCAGGGCTTCCTCTCAAGTGCCGTCTATCTTATCTAGTGGAACAGTCGGCACACAGGCACAAGTGCAGAACGCATTTGCCTAGAGACCCCACTGTCAGTTTAAAGCAGTATAAAGAGGACAAGAGAAACAATGAGGATAATAAAATACTGTAGGAGGAAAAAGAGGAGACTAGGTCAGCATTACTGCATATGGCCACAGTAACGGGATACGATTGGGGTAAAATAAATGATGCGCCAGTATCAAAATGTTCCTGTCAGAAAGAGAGAGTGAGCTAGAGATTATTGGACAGTATTTCAGCGAGATAAATTAAATGTAGTTCTCTTTATAGCACTGGTCATTTTATTCTCTTGTGTGAGTGTGATGTTGCACAAAGGCACAGTGGGCCGACTGAACACACCAGCAGAAACCTCTATCTTTCATTGCATTGGACAGCACCCACTGAGCTATCCTCGGGTAACACGGCCCCCGTATTTGGATCAATTTAGACTAGCCAGGAGCAAGGGAGGCTCAGACATACTGGTCTAGCCTTAAATGTCCTTAAAACTGGTCTCGGAGTCTATAAGATTATCATCGGATTAATTTCCAAAGCCAAAAAGAACGATGGCTGATTAGTGAGCAATCAAATGCACTGAAATAAATTAAAAAATAAAATTGTGCTCCCAAATTTCCTTCAATCAAGAGCTTGCTTAGAAATATTAAACCTTTCAATCAAGGACACCAAGGAAAAATGTTGTTGCATGAGTTTTAGCAAATATAGGCTAAAAATCACCCACTTACAAAAGTTTAGAAGGAATGAGAAGCAGAGATAGAAATCACAGTAGAGCTCTGGCGGTCATATCATGCTCAGGTGGGCACTGACCCATGGGGCCATTGAAAAGCAAAGACTCAGCAGTGAGCAGAGAGGCCAATGGGAACTCTACTGTAGCAAGAGGCAACCAGGCAAGAAGATGTCACTTGACTATACCTCACTTACGATGATCTAATGGCAACGGTTTCACTAAATCAGATGCCCGACCATCTGGTGTAACTGAAGAAAGGTGAGAATGAAAGTGGATAGTAGGGCTGTCAAGATGGCTGAAAAACTAAATTCGAATTTTTTACTTAATTTTTTTTACTTGTTTAGCCTGTATATGCTCCCACTAAGTCAAATAATGAGAAATAACCAAATTGCCTATCACAGCTATGCTGATGATACCCAGATTTACCTAGCCTTATCTCCAAATGACTACAGCCCCATTGACTCCCTCTGCCAATGCACTGATGAAATTAACAGTTGGATGTGCCAGAACTTTCTTCAGTTAAACAAGGAAAAAACTGAAGTCATTGCATTTGGAAACAAAGATGAAGTTCTAAAGGTGAATGCATACCTTGACTCTAGGGGTCTATCAACTAAAAATCAAGTAAGGAATCTTGGTGTGATTCTGGAGACAGACCTTAGTTTCAGTAGTCATATCAAACCAGTAACTAAATCAGCATACTATCATCTCAAAAACATTGCAAGAATTAGATGTTTTGTTTCCAGTCAAGACTTGGAGAAACTTGTTCATGCCTTTATCACCAGCAGGGTGGACTA